GACTCGGCTGGGGTTCGAACATACAACCTCCCGCATATGAAGCGAACGCTCTAACCACTAGGCCACTGGAGTGGTTTGTTACTAAGTTAACGATCTTGATAGCATTTTTTTATTTTTAAATGGAAATATCATTAAAATGATATTTTTAGTTGCAAAGTTGATTAAAATGATATTTTTTAGTTTCAACGTTCATTAAAATGATATTTGTTTGCAAAGAAGGTGTACTTGACACAAAATAATTTTGAATATATTAAGCATAATTATATTTCCGATTATGTGTTTGACACGTGTCACTTATGTTTATTTAGTGGCTATATAATGTTGTGAAAGATATTCGAGCCAAATCCAACGCTTGGAAAAAGAAAACAGAAATGACTTTTAATTATTTAATAGCTAATGTATTAACTACCCATATTCCGTAGTTAAAATGGCGCTTTTGTCAATTTGAATATTATGCAATTACCCTAACATAGTATTTTCTAATTTGCTGTTTAAGTGCGTTATTTGCTTACCGGAGTTACCGTTAAATGTCTTGCTCAGGTGTTGGTATCACACTGAAAGTTTCTATGACTATTATGTCAATAGAATAACGATTAAAGTGCAGCCGCAGCCTTCAGTGTCAACATTTCCAAATTCAGTTAAGATGTTGAATGTCAAAGCATTGCGTTTCAGTTATAGTGAAAGCTTTAGCACCCAACATAGTTACCGCATTAAGATTACAACTTCTACAACGATTAGCACGCACAAAGCAGATTCGTATACCACAAATTACTGTTCATTTAATTTCATTTTCGTGGTGGGTGGAGAGGGCTGTGATGCTATTGTTGTAGATAACAAAATGACTATAATATTGTTCTGATTTCCTAGAAATTAGAGCCATATATTTTATAGCTATTGACAGATATTTACAAAAAAAAAAACATAAGTGTCACGACCCTGCACCAGGAAATTTATAAGTTGGTCCCTAAAAATGTATTATAGAGTGGTATATTTAGAAATACCATGACGCAGCCAGCTCTAACAAATGCAATTTTATAACTTTGTTTAGATTAGTATGACGTCATAAAAATATATAATGTACTTGGCGTTGATCAGTATGTTGTCTATTAATTCCTAATTATAGCACACTGCACGTGCACTGTCTATTACCTCCGAAGGAGGAGTACTTTTGAAAGTGGCTAACGAGTTTTACGAGTCGGCAACGAGAAAACAAAAGAGATAGTATTCACAAAATCAGACAGTATACGTTCTCGTAAATAAACATGTATACCGTATGCTCTGACTTCTAATTTGCATTAGTTACACGACGTTTAACACTGCTCGAGAGAAGGAATGATATAACGCATGACAGTTTTATATACTGAAATTAACCGTTATGCATTTTACTGTGATCTGACAATCGATTAATTAATAAGTAATAATAAGTAATAATAAATAATTAGTTTTGATTTGTTCTTTTTCATGTCTCTCTTTATATATATATATATATATATATATATATATATATATATATATATATATATATATATATATATATATATATATATATATATATATATATAATAGCTTAACTAATAATACCATATAGTGATGCCTTAACAACTAATAACAACATATAGTAATACCTTAACTAATAAAATCATCTAGTAATGTGGGGCTCCGAGTGGCCGAGTGGTCTAAAGCGCTGTCCGTTACGGATCACTGCCATCTCACCTCTATCTGCGTGGGTTCGAGTCTAAGATTCGGCGAATGTGGATATGTGAGAGAGCTTGCCAGTAGCTTCTCGTGGGTCGGTGGTTCTTTCCGGTGATTTCCCGGTTTCTTCCTCCACCATTAATACTGGCCGCCATGTATAGCCTTTCCTGTGCTGAAAAATGGCGTTAAACCCCACAACAACAACAACATTTAGTAATACCTGAATTAATGATAACATATAGTGATACCTTAACAACTAATAACAACATATAGTAATACTTTAACTTATAACAACATATAGTAATACCTTAACTAATAATAACATATAGTAATACCTTAACTAATAATTACATATAGTAATACCGTAACTAATAATTACATATAGTAATACCTTAACTAATAACAACATATAGTAATACCTTAACTAATAATAACATATTTGGATCCTTCTTCAGTGGTCTATGGGGTCTTGAAAACACGAGCACACACAAACTTAATAAAGATATAATGGACATTAGGCAGAGTAATATTTTCCCTACATTTGAGATTGGAGGCAAATATGGATACATAGTATGGATTTAATGAAATTTCCCAGCACATGATAGGCTATACATGGTGGCCAGTATATTTGATGGAATAAGAACCTGGGAAAACTCCAGAAAAAACCATCGACCCAATGAAAGCCGGTTAGTAAACTATCTTACCTAGCCACTTTGGCCAAACGTGAAACTCGAAACTATGTTGACAACGTTGAGATATCAATGATCTGCATGTAAGTCTGCCACCAGGGGGTTCCTGTATCATAGAAAGCATGCAGATAACATGGTTGGTATGCAGACATTATGCAGTTAGTTTGCAGATAACATGGACAGTACGCATTTTATGTTACCATACATACATACATACATACATACATACATACATACATACATACATACATACATACATACATGCATGCATGCATACATACATACATACATACATACATACATACATACATACATACATACATACATACACACATAGATGTGTGTGTGTGTCATTACACGTCTAACAACAGCAACATATTCTTGTCATTCTTGCAGGTAACTTACATCGCAGGTTTATCAGTCTAAATTGACTACATAATATGTTTGAGAGAGGCTAATTAAACAAATGCTAATATATATATATATATATATATATATATATATATATATATATATATATATATATATATATATATATATATATATATATATATATTCCTGTGCTTCGAAAACTCATGCGAAATTGTTCGTAACATCAAAACTGAAATTGATTCTTTTGTTCCTCTTATTACCGTCTTACATTATTCCCAGCTTGTATGTGATACACTTAGTTAGGTTGATTTCTTATAAGTTTTTCCATTGTTCTGATTTGTTACATTATATTTCACTATGATAATTTTAGTTCAATATCCTTATTAATACATTTTTGTACGCTATAATCATTATGCATTTTTGTCTGTCATTCTGGTTTGACATATTTTAGTCCGCTTTTTTTACTAGATACATTTCAAACCACTATTCTGATCTGATATATTTTCGTCCACTTTCTGCATTTTTAGTCCATTATTCTGTTATGGAGTCTGATTTATCTGGGACTTCAGGGAGCCATTGTCTTTTTCCTATCTTCATCAGACATTCTCATCCATTAGGTCTAGGTCGAATTGAATATAGGAAATATTGTGCTGCGTCGCCGTGGCGACCAGACTAGCATTTATTCATGGCAAGGACGTCAAATTGTGCAAATGCTAACGTCCAAGGGGGGTCCATAAGCGTCATGCAAATAGGAAACGGCCACATCGGACATATAATTTTACGACAGAGGCTAGCGCATATAAGGAAGTGCCAATATACACAGACATGAAATTCCGTGTCACGCAAGCAATGCCATCTTTGGTCACGGAAGCATGTTCAAATCAATTTTCCTTGAACCAAGATTTATATTTCGAGATCAGATTTAACGCATTTGGATAACCCATATGATAGAAGACTTGGAATATTTTAAAACTAATGCAGTTTGTTGATTTCTCGTGAGATTCGAAAATATAAATCTGAGAGACTATGGAGTCATTTGAATAAATAGCAATGTCCTAATGAGAATAAAGTGATATTAATTTTGGGCTACGTTATAAGTTATTATGCATTTCAAAATACACACGAGCGTTTAATAGCAGAGCGATCCGTCTTGTTCAATCTGTTCTGGCCTGAAAAAAAAACTAAAAAAAAACTTTGTAATATTGATTCATAAGAACAAGATGCAACACTAAGAGATAGTTCTTCTTGTCCATTCTGCACATTTCAAGCACTGCTTTGATTTCCTAGTTTTAGAGAAAGAAAATAAGTAGACACTAATTATTCTTTTCACAGGGTTGTATTCCCACACCAATGCATTTGCTGTATGTATATTTCCAAAACTAAAATGTACACATGCAGTCCATGTTTCTCAAGATACAAATCATCGCAAGCCAAATTTGTGGCTGAGCTAATTGATTACGTATTTTATCATGAGTGTGTATGGGCGTGCGCGCGCGTGTGTGTATGTGTTGGATTTTTGAACGTAACTTTAAAGAATTTCAGACATATTGCGAAGATGTCTGCAGTGTGGAAGATTATAGTGAAGTCTAGCATTAGGGAATCATTCCACAGACACCATGCCCTACCCTCTTAATGCTGAGCCCCAAGCAGATTGTACTATTTGGTACGACTCATTTGGCGTTCGAACCGGTGACCTCCCGCTTCAGAGGAGGACATTCTAACTCCTTAGACTGTAGGAACGGCCCTGTTTTTATCTTAAAGTAATAATTTGAATAAAGTCTGAATACGATATTACATTCAATTTTATACTCGGATTACATGTTTGCAAAAGGACGTCCGCAGAAGTTATTACAAGGCCTGCACCATTGTCTGTAGTATCCAGTTACATGGGCTCCCTTTAAATTAGATTTTCTCAAGGATTACATGCGCTGTGTATCTGCATTTCGTAACTGACTTTTGTACAATGCCATATTAATGGTCTGCTTGTATAGTGACCTTTGTTTTGCAAACAATATAATACATAGCTAATATTTCTCTATCATTACCGATTAAATATTAAGGTCATTGTTTATTGTTTAAACAAATATGTTTAGTTAAATCGGAGCCTTATACATTAGTGTTTCTTTTGGAAATTCCTAACCTTGTTGACAATTTAGAATGTTTTAGAAAGAAAATTGAATTGGCTCTACTATTGTGTCTTAGCTTTGTAAAATAATGTTGCTTACGTTAAAATTATTAATTCGTACTTTAATATTCAAAGAGTAACCAGTCTAATTAGTGTGTACAGTTTTAAATTTGGATGGATTTATTTATATA